TGGCACACATACCAGAAGTTGAGGCTGGCGGTTCCTGGCAACAGCACCCACTTCCCCGGGCTCTCCTGTGTGGCCTGGCTCTGTGCGAGGGGCGCTGGCCTACGTGCTGTGTCACCTCCGTACCCAGAAAGAGCTGGTCACGCAAGATATAGGTTTCCCTTATCTGTAAGTTCTGCAATATATGCCTTCATTTTCCATTTGGAAATTTATCGTACAGGTGAAGCTTAAGTCCTTGAGTTATTTGGTTGAGTTTTCTGGACGTTTGGCAGGTTATTTAAAGTAATACTGTAGTGTTGCAAGTGCCAGCGTGGTGAATCATATAAGCCAGTTCAGGTTCAATGTTTACAGTCAGTTCTTTCCAGACATTTGAGAGATTTATGCTTATCTCATTCAGTAAGCAAGACTGTCACACAGATTGCGCTTTCTCAGGATATACTTGCTCTATCCTCCCCAAGAATTAATGCAGGTGGAGATGCTTTTGCTTGAAATGTAACTGTACCAAAGGACAGTCTGTTAAAAATTAGCAAGGATATTCCTCTGTGGGACAGTCACAGGGCAGCATCCTCCATCAGCAGGGATATTGTGCACAGAAAGAGAGAGCATGCATCAGGATATGGCCTCTGATTAAACAGTATCTGAGAATACAGATGAGGACATAGAAACTAATCACAGAATCATAAAGCAACTTTTTTCACCCCAGTCCTGTTTTAGAGTGGAGAGGGAGTAACATTTTTTGATAGATGGGGGATAGAGTTCATAATTCATATGTCATCACTGCTTTCTAATTTATGACAAAGGAGAAATGAAGAAACTGCAGGTACACATAGAATGTGTATCTTGACAGGAGAGACCATAGCAGCATTGTTCCACCAGCTCTGAGGAAGAGGCATAGTTGCATGGTTGTTTTTCTTCCCCTTCTGACATTAGTGCTGCCTGTAGTAATAAAGTCAGATGCAAACAGTTAAGTCTCTTTGGTTTGGACATTTTGAGACTGGGATCCCTTTCCTTTGGATAGTAGGTAAGAGTAACACCTTTTCTTGCCAGTTTTCCAAGTGAGCATGAGATAACAAACATTACTTACAAATCTTCCCATAATACTGCCTTCAGATGCCTTTCAGATAAAGGAAATAACCTTAATTTCTTTATTCTTGTCCAGAATAAAGAGCATATGACTTTTTATTAGTATTTACCCCTAGAAAGTTGGAATGTTCACAGCAGTAAAATAAAACCTCTAGTAAGAAAAATTCTTCCTTCTTTGGTATTGTATTTGTTGAGGGGGTGTTGCTGGATAAACTACTTGGCACTTGATTTATAATAAAAGGGCTGTTGCTTTTTGTTGCATTCTATCTAGACCTCTGGAATACAAAGGAAGATCCAACTAATTCTAACTAATAGTTAGATGGATAATGGCATGACAGCATGTCATGGTAGTTAATGCCATTTTAATGTTGTCTTTAATTTTTCATGTCTCTGAATTTTTTTGAAACTTACTGGCTCATTCTTAGAATAGAATCTGGGGCAGGGTTTGGTTTTTTTTTGTTTTTTTGTTCCTTTATAGAAAACATGCAACCAAGTGCTCTGGGTGCCTTTAGAGGGGTCCCTAAAGAGGTCTTTACTTGTTCTGAAACCAGAAACATAATAACAGATTGCAGATTTTAAGTCTTATTTGACTAGTATATTATAAATGCTATCTAGCATCTGTTTGATGTTAAATGTATTAGTTGAGTTCAGTTATTGTCACAAAATAATCCTCATGACTGAAGTATTTTCATTTTTCTTGGTCATATTAATAGTGATGTCAGACATCAGTTCATGCATTGGAAATTGGCACTTTTATCATGTACAGGAGATCTGTAACACTTGGCAGATTAACATAGGTCAGCAGAGAACAGATATTGTTGATGTAATTCTAATTTTTCAAATACTACCTCTTTTTTTTTTTTTTTTTTTTCCTCTAAGATGCTTCATGCTGAAAGTAGAGTAAGGCTCTTGGAGTGTCAGAATGAAATCACAATTGAACCATGTTCTAAAAAAATGAAGTCAGCAGAAGTGGCTTGTGGGAAACTCTCTGATGATGATAACCAAGGTATTCAGGAGGAGGAGGACGTTGAGAGAACGTCAGATAATTTGATACCAGCATGTGCCTCAGACAATGAAGGGAAACATGAAATGCAGGAGCAAGGGAAAATACCTACTGGTCTCTCTGAAACAGTGAATGAAGTGTTCCATGAAAGTGATCTAATGCTTATTCAGCCAGTTGATTCGGAAACTGTGCAGAATATAAATCTGCCATTTGCATCAATAAATGACGCTGAAGTTGAAGAAAAGAAAGACCCTTTTATTACAAATAATGTGAGTGAAGATAATATTGAAAATAGCAGTCCCTTATTCTCAGTAAGTAGAAATGCATCAGATGAAGAATTTTTTACAAGCAAAGAATTTATTGGACCGATTTACAAGCCTGCTGAAAGTAACAGACAGGACAAATCTGAGAGTCTCAGCAAGTGTGGAAGCAGTGATGGAGGTCAGAATGAATTGCATGAATACAGAGCTGAAAGAAAGGAGGCAGAGAAGATGCAGACTGTTTGCTCTGCTGCACCAGAAATAGATGATGAACTGGACCAGTTCTATAAAGAAATTCACCAGCTGGAAAATGAAAACTTAGACACTAATTTTCAGGAAAAAGAAACTGAAACTTCTCAGGAACAACACTCTCCCTATAATTGTAGTCAGACCTCACAAGAGGATTATGAACGCACCTTGTTGGACAGCTCACAACCCTGTTTCTACTTCTGTGAGAAGAAACAGTGTGGGGAACAGAACAGTCAGGAAACAAGCGGTGAACAGCAGTCTGTTGTGGAAACAAGTGACTGGAAAATTGAAAATACCTTTTCTGGACAAGTAGATTCTAAATACTGGAACTGCTCAGTGCCTGAATTCAGACCTGCTTGGCAGTCAGAGGCTTTCAAAGTACCTCAGGGACCTCTTCATCCTAGATTCAACCATCAGTCACATTTTCAGGTACTTAATTCCCCACCACAAAAAACAAATGCTCTCCCATTTCAGAATAGTGAACTTTTGTACAAAAATTATCATGGTTACCATGGAAATACTGATATTGACAGTCATGGTCCATTGCTTGATCAGAGTACCGGCTATGCTGGTCGCATTGATGTCCATACTACTCAGGTCTTCAGAAATGGACATACTGACCAGAGTGAACTCCAAAATAATGGTTTCTGTGAAACCAGAGAAGAGTGTTGGAAGGATCCAGAAGCTGATGGTGCAGAAGGAATGCACAGCTTTTCTTCCTTACAGTTACCTGAAGAAAGATTCAGTTGTTCACAGAAATTTCTCCTTATCTTAAGAGGCCTGCCTGGTTCAGGGAAATCAACACTCTCTCGGTAAGTAAAGATGGGAAGTTCTGAGAAGCTTATCAAATTAAAATTTTAAGGAATTAAAAAACAGATCGCTAAGCACTTGGCAAACTTTGGTATTTGTAAATTAGACTGTTAAAATTTTTACTTAATGAGGACAAATTACAGTAAATATTAAGGTTTTTTTTTTGCCTAGTTTAAAAAGCACGTAAGTTGACAGAGCACAGACGCTATCTGTATTAAGTGAAAATAGATTTCTCCTGCATGCAAAAAAACCTTACTGCATCAGTACTTACTGACAGCTTCATCCAGAAACTGTTCATCACAATGGGATGTGTTCTGTAGTTATCATCTGTTCTGCTCTCAGGATCTATGAAGTAGATCAATGATCATGTTCCTCCTTGGTTTTTGTACAAAGGAGTAACCCTGCCTTTGTGTTTTTTTTTTTCTGAAATTTATGAGACCATGTTCTCTATATCATAGGAAAATACTAGAATATTAGAAATTCCTAGCTTCTGTGTTTATAGAATTTTAGCTGTAATATTTTTGTAGTTACCTAATTGCTATATTTTGCAATCCTGCATTCTTGAAGCTGCACCTTTCTCCGTGGGTATTACTGCAGTAATTCCTTTAATATATCAAAGCAGAATAGGAAATTTTAACAAATAACCCTGTGGAAAAAATGCTGCTTCATTCGGTGCATGATTTAGATAACAGTTAATGTGAAGATATCAGGGTTTTTTTCCCCCATGTTTGTTGTGCTGAATTGTCTCTGAATCTTTCTCCAAGTATTGTACTCATATTATCTGAAAGATTCCAAGTATCTTCAGGTTTTTATGAGCACATTCATGATTTTTTCATCTCTCACTAGTGAGATCAATTACTGATTTTATTTAACAGATGGGAAAGTGGGCACTATGACATCAAGGTCAAGAACAGTCATCAAATTTGAGTGTGGAATTTGAACTCTGTGGACTTGTTTTTCAGCATATTCAAGTATATGCAGGTTCATGTGTTCAACATCTTGCTATAATTGTTAATTCCCATGAAATCATATCTCTTGTATTAAGTACCTGAGGGGGAAAAATACTAGAATTAATGGCTGCTTGTGAGAAAAATACATATATTATTAAAGTCGTCTTATCTTTAGTTAAGTTGAATACGTTTTTCTGTGTAACATCATAGAATTCTGCAGTGCAGTCTAGGACAGAGGATACAGTCTTCTGAAGCCATAGCAGTACCCACAGGTTTCTTTGCAGGCTTGGCATCTGTAGCATGTGCAGACAAATGTCTACCACTTGTGCTAGCGGAAGGACTGTGAGGAGAAGCAGAAAGCTGACGTCTGTGTGGGTGAGCACTAGAAGGGAATGAGGTGCATCTTTCAAGAGAGTTTGCCAAGTATCAAATGACAGCAGAGCAGCAGTGGGACACAGGAATCTTGAATTCCTGTATGCAATTTGTGCAAAGTAAGGGTTTGCAAGTACAGCCACTTCTGCTCCAAACTTAACCTGTCTGTTCTGAGTCCTCCACTGAAGTCTGTGTTTTGTTCTGACTCTTATGTCCCAACTGCTTGGAATAACAGGCATGTGCATATTTTTTGGAAGAGGCTTGTGGAGGTCAGCTAATCTATCCATTCTGCTTGGAGCAGGTCTGTCACCATTGTTGGATCAGATCAGCTGTGTCTTTGTCTAGTCTGATCTTGAAAAACCTTGAAGTGCAGAGGTTTCAGTCTTTCCAACCTTTCTGACACAGTACTACCCTCCTGGTAAAGAAGTTCTCCCTAATCTCCAAACTGAAGTTCCCAAACCATAATTTGTATATGTTCTCCTCTGTTATAAGATATGCTCTCACCTGTTAGAACCTGTCTCATCACCTTTGCAGCTTTGTTTCAGGTGAAGGGGTAGGCTTAGTTGCTGTATCTGGCTGATATTGGGTGGCCTTCTACTGTGTTCCTTGCCAGACTAAAGAAGCCCAGCTGCTATCAAGCTTTCCTCATGGACTGTATACCCTTAGCCATCTTCATAGCCATCTGTTCAGCCATTTCATGATTCTCAGCATGTCTCTTGAACTGAGAAGCCCCAAATTTGACAGAGTATTTCAAAATTGACTGCATAAGAGCTGAGTGTAGATGATGCCTTCCATTGATCAACATTTTCTCTAATGAAGCTCAGCATGTGCTTTGCCCTTCTTTTGAGGAGTGCACACCCTTCTCACAAGGCTCTTTGCCCTGTCTCTATTGCCTAGCTCTGCTGCCAGCACCGAGTTGCTTGTTCCCCTGTTTATACCACTGTGCTTCCCGTGTCCTTCCTGTTTTAGACAAATTTTGTTCCGTCTCTTGCCATTCTGAAGATTGTGTTGGGAGAAACATGTTCATATGATGCAATATTGGTGCTAAATGAGCTTCCTGCCACTGCTAGAATCCTCTGTTCAGGAATGGGTTTACTGCAGTGAGAATCTGCACTTTCTGCTCCACTTTGCAAAAAAAATGAGGACTTTTCACTATTACTCTCTGTGCACATTACATTTTTGAAGTCAAACAGTGTGGACATATTTACAAAAAGTTTTTGCCTGATTTCACTTCCTCAATCCAAAGCTCCTCAGAGAAAAGCTTGGAATAATGAAATGTGACTAAAATGCTGTATTTCTTCCTTGGTTTTGGAGGTGGTTGACCATTTAGTTAGAAATTTGGTCAGATACCCAGTGATATCTTTAGCCTAAGTAACAAAAGCCTGCTACAACTAGAAGTAGATGACAGTATGATTCTACAATGATGGAAAAAGTTTTAAGAAGAGAGACTTGGATTTTTAGGATATTTTGCTACTGAACTTGGCAGCAAATGCAGTTTTCCATTCCTCCATAAATATCTGAACATGAATTTGATTTAAAAGGAGCTTAATGAGGTCGAAAGAACAAATATTGGTGTCATTTAAGAAGTACACTTGGAATTAAATCCATTACTAGGAATATATGGAGACTGTTGTCTTCATCTGGGGCCATTCTGAACATAGAAACAATAGTCTACTGTTGTTTCTCATTACCCATTTCTTCAAACAATGTTACAAGCAATGCTTTTAACGTAGCACTTACACAGCTTAGTAATACTAAAGATTTAAAAACTATGTTTCATTATTATCTGCTTTTTTCCCTCATTTGTTGTATGTTGGCTATTTTAAATAGGTGATTTATTAGATTTTAAGGGATCATCTTTATTTTAAAACCATCTGTCAGAGTAGACTAACCAGGTTACAGGTTGTGGGACCATTTTAGTTTTGAAGATAAGTTAAAGCAGGGTTTTTGTCTGAGTGTGTGCACTCAAATGCGCACTGAAAAAAACCAATGTGTGTTGATTTCCCGACTAGTTAAAATGAGCGTTTTGGTTTCAAGATGAGCTTTCTGTGTCAAACTAATATCTTCTTTTCGGTCAGATAGCATGTCTGGAAAAAGTAGTTGAGCTGCTTTAATTTTTCTGCCTGCTTTAATTTTACTTTCCTACTGTGTTCAGAGGTGGGTGTTCAATTGCAGGGAAGGTTTGGGGTGAAAAAAGTGGATTATAGCAGTTGAATAATACTGCTGCTCATTTCATTTGTGTGCTCGTATTGATGCTGACTGATCTGTAGTCTGACTTATTAGGAATGTCTTTCTCTTTTTTCTTTCTCAAAAGTGGAATATCATCTCTTTGTGGCTTTAGATAGTAATGATGCTTTCTTTGTATAGATGTGCATTTTGTTGTTTCTGTTTCCTAGTTCATGAGCCTGGGATAACTTTTATTTCCAAATACATGTTAGAATTATGTGAATTGGTCTATATGGTGTCAAGAAGTACATTTGTATTTTGAATGTTGCAAATTTAGATACTGTGAATTCTGAAAGTAGTTGACAGGGTTTTAAAATTCTATGGTTTATGATTTAATTTCACAGTTCAGAAACAGGCTATAATTCTTGCTGTAATAATTTAAGTTTCAGTTCCTAAACTCCCTACTTTGTGATAGGTTGTGTGTTGTGTACAGGATAAGGATTCTGTTACTCTGACCTCTTTGGTAGTTGCTTTGCCTTACCAAATTCTGTAGTTTTATGATTACTCTTGTAAACATAGTTCACTGATGTAACAGTTATAATATAGTAATATATTAATGTCTAAACTTCAAGGAATAATAACAATGTATTTCAAGAATAAACTTTGATGGGTTTGCAATATTCCCAAACCCTTGTTATTCTGTTTCTTTATTGCTACTAGTAATGTATGTAAGATACAGCAGAAGAACTTGAGTAACTGAATTATTCTCCATAATGCTGACCAAACAGAGTCAGTTTCTAGAAATAAAAATAAATGCCACATTAGTCCCATTAGTGTTGATTCATCGGTTCATATGTGACACTTTATGGTCAGGCTCCTAGGAGCTGTAGGAGCGTGTCTTATCTACTCAGCTGGTGGAAGAATCCTAGTCATTACTTGCTACCTCTGTTATTAAGGCAGATGGTCTGTAATCTTTAAGATGCATATATACATTCAGCACACAAAAAGTGATTGTGGAAGATGGATCCAGTCTTTCTAGCATTATTAATTGGCAAATGTAGCATACTGTAAGTAAGAAAATTTGTCTGTGTGTGAAATAATGGCTAAGTAACTTAATGAATATAAATTCCTGCTAAATACTTAATAGAAGAGAAGAATGGATTAAAAAAAAGAAGCTATGGTGTATGGGTTTTCTGGTGTCATTTTATCTACTTAGAAAAATCCAGGCTTTTAATCCTTCTCTGCTTTTTCCTAAAGTAGTGTAATACACCTTCTGTTAAAAGACATAGGCTCTAACAAAAATAATTATTGAACCATGTCCAAAAAAAGTGTCTGTACTTTTGGTGTGTCATGCTCTGCCTTCTGAAATAGCATGGCTGTTTATCCTGAGGTAACCTTCATGCTCTGGAAATGGGAGAAAGAGCAGGAAGGAAGCTTGTGTGCAGCTTTGGTCATGTTACTTGAGCTGTTGTGTTGTTAGTAGTTTCTTCAGGTTCTCAGTAATCTGAATGTTGCTGTTACAGATCCCTGTGTTTTAAAAGCTGCTAGAAGGTTTGACTGACATGTCATGACAATGCAAATATTGAATTCTAGAAAAGATTAATTTCTGTAGTGTTCATACATCACCCATTACAATAACTTCTGTAATTAATAACTAATAAACATACTATCAGTAATATGTTACAATATGAAGTAAAAATAAACCTGTTAACAGTGAACATTGCAACTGTGACCCTCTGAATTCCCCTTGTTACCCTTGTTGGCGTCCCCACAGCATCTTCTATTCTTTGCTAAAGTATGTTTATAGTTCTGCAATAATCTTTAACGTTAGCTGTGCAAGAAGCATAATGTAATGCACTTATTCTGACCTGACCTACAGATGAAGGAAACTTCTGGCCAGAAAAATACCTATGTTGCTTGGAAACAGCAGGCCAGAAGACTGGGTGAAGAGGAAATTTGTGTTGTCTTTTTTTTTCCTTTTTTTCCTTTTTTTTTTTTTGTCTCTATGGATTCTCATTTGAGTCTCAGCATTTTATCTGCTACTTTGTTTTGCTTTGTCTGTCTTCCCCTTGTAATAGTTCATAGTATTTTTGAGAGAATATTCTGTCAGATTTTGTTGGCATTGGTCTATATGTATGGCTTTACTTCAGGAAAGCAAACTAAAACACTAATCAAGTGGTTTAAGTGATTTGAGAAGTAATTTTTTTTTTTCTGATTTGAAGTAATAAATGAAGTGATAATGAAACAGATGGCTTTCCTATCACTGTGTTAGGACTGAATTATGAGTGATAGGGAAAAACAATATAATTTCCTGATAGAAACTGAGATATGAAAAAATCTTATCTTAAATTTCTTGTCATGTGCTAGACCTAAACTACAGTTCCACAAGATGTGGTAATCCGTGTAGCAGCTTACTGCTGCTCTACTTGGGAGGTCTCCACTGATAGTTATCCACCTTAATGCATCACATCTTGGTGCCTTTTCTTAAATAAGTTCAACTGCTAAAGCTTCAGAAAAATAACTCAGGAGGAAAAAAAAAAAAAACAAAACCAACAATGACAAAAGGATTATTTTCTTGTGGGTAGTGAATCCCAGTGGCTTGTGGATTCAGCGAGTGCTAAAGTTGGTGAGAAAATGAAGGCAAGTGATGCCATGTTACTGGGACTGGAGGGGAAGGCAGCACTGAAGGAGAAGCGTACAGGACCCTGAAGGAATATGGACCCTCTTCCATAACCCTGACTTTCAATAATAGGACAACCTTGAAAGTTTATTGCAACCTTTTATTTTTTCCTGAAATGAGGGAAGTTGCTTTAAACTTTATTAGTTTTCTTTTGCTGTTCCTGTTTGACCCACGTTGTATGTGGAAGCAGCGTGGGCAAAAGTCAGCAGAGGGCATGGTGAGAGTTACGGTGCTGAAAAAGGATCTAAACATCCGGTTTGCTTCTCGGCTTCATTGGGTTGGTGTGTAGAGAGAATTCCAAAGGAGAATTGATGTGGGAAATGTTAGTAAATACATTATGTTATTATGAGGTACTTAGAACATACTAAAAAAAATAAAGTATTTTTGCCTTTTGCTTTGTTTAACAGGTTTCTGCTTGGCCAAAGTGGTGATGGCATTGTATTCAGCACTGACGACTATTTTCGTCAACAAGATGGCTACACGTATAATGCTGCTCACCTTGGGGATGCTCATGACTGGAACCAGAAGAGAGGTTTGAATCCATAAGAAGTATCCCATTAAATTATGCTTATATTTTAAAAAAATGAAGTACAGCATAGTGTGCATGTGTGTTAATAGTCTATATGAAAAGGATCATAAATGTATTTTAGTATATATAGAAGTATATGTTTGAAGTATTCTTTATATTTTAATTAATATATATACACATCATATTTTGAACTTACAGAGGGATCAGACTTAAAAGAACAAAATCTGTCTTCTTTGTGCTGTGACCTGCTGATTTGTTACATTTGATACTGGTATCTTGATGGCAGAATTGAACTTTTTTTAATGCTGGCAATGTCAGAGTATCCTGGTTTTTTCCATTATCTTTCCTGATCATTGAAGAGTTTTTCTGAGGAAGATTTTAGTTCACTCATATACATTAACAGCTTTAATAAGTAATCTTTCTTAATACTTAGCAGTGCCCAGAGGTTGGGTTTAATTGTTAAGGAAGTAGATAGCTGGGGTAAGAAGAGTAGCAGACAGATTCTTGCTCTTTCTGTAGCAGTTTTCTAAGAATCTCATTATCTGTTTGGTCTGCTCCAAGGAGTGGGCAAACTGAACAACTCTGTTGCCTGTCTGTGCAGATTAGCCTCTGTGCTTCAGGAAAGCAGAAGCTTCTTTCCTGTCTGGAGGACTACATCTTTGCATCAAGATGGTCAAGGAAAAAAAAATATTTTTCCTTTTCCTCCCCTTCTGACTGTAATGCAAAATTTACGATATATCAGGGAACTTTTCCGTATGAACAGTGAAGGAATTTTTTTCAGAAATCATTAGACTATCAATTACAAAGAGCACTTCTGAAGATGGAGTGCAGCAATAATAAATACTTGGAATGAGGTTCCCAGTAGGAGCCTAGGAGCAGAAGAGTTGACAAGGTAGTAGTTGAGAAGACTCGACACTTGCCAGTCACAGAAACACCACTAAACAATTCTCTCCTGATAATCACTTCTGGCTGTTTCTGCCTAGACCTGGAGATCTCTCTAGTTGTGTATCACTTAGTTACACAGGGGTTTTGACAACCAGAACAGAATATAATTTAGTTACTCAGCGATTTGTTGGCAAGAACAGGAGCAGCTCTGCTGTGCTGTTTAAGAACACCTCCACCGTGAAACATCTGCCAGAATAGCTTTGGGTTGAAGTTACGCTCAATTCTTAACCTCCTGCTTTGACTAATTAGAGCTCTCAGACTTGGAGTACTTCAAGAAGCTCTTGGTTTTGCTTGTGTGGGGATCCTTGGAATACATGAAATAAGAATTTCAGGGAAATGGTAATCCTAATAGTTGGATTTGTTTGATAGTAGGTCTAGGTTAAAGTTTCTTATAGATTGTATTAGTTGCAGAAGATATATATTTGCTAGTAATCATATGAAAACATATTTAGCTAGAGCTTTATAATCTTCTTGTTGGAATTGTGGAGAAGGCAAAAATTTACTTTCTTCACAAATGAGAAAATTACTCTGTTAACATTATCCTCCCCTCAATTTTGGGGAGGGAATGAATCTATAATATGCTAAGTATGAGGAAAAAAATAGTTAAAAGTGAGGCCCATTAGGGAAAAAAAGTTAGTTTATATTAGATCAACAATTACAATCTCTCAAATGCTTATGAGACAGTGAATTACATACCCTTGGTACTAAAACATATACAAATATGGTGTGAAGATGGTACATTCAAGTGCACAAATATTAGGAAATACTAGAATTAATTTGCCAGTGTGACTTTAGCTGTGAAATCAGTGTCACTCTTACAGGGTTTTAGACCCTTGAAGTTCACTTTTGTGGCTTTGCTAAGTGTCTCCTATTTTAGCTCACACCGCCACTTCCACTGGAACTTTTGTCTGCCTTTAACGTGTTTTTGACATTGTTGACTTGACAGGTTGAGGTGGGGTTTGTCTGCTTGTTAAACTCTGTCTTTGGTTTGGTTTTAACAATGACCAATAAAATTAATTAATTAGTAACTTTTTTTACCTTTAAACAGAACTTTATCTAAGGTATTATATCAGCACACTTAGCACTTAGACTGATAGTTAAAACAAGATGCTAGAGTATGTAAGTGGGTTGTAGTGTAGCTATAATACAATCTTTCTTCACAAGCTTTTGTAAATTAATGATGGTTCCATTATCTTCATTACAAAATTGGCTATTCTCTTGCTATCGTTATTAATCTTTTCTGAAACACATATTTAAGGCTTTTTCCCTTGTTTCTGTCAGTCTAACAGTTTTCTAGATTTGGGTTTCAGAAAGATCATTTGTGGCAAGTTAATGAATCTAGAGCAATTTTTAATTTTTTTTCTTATAATAATGTTTTCCATCGATCCTTAGTTCTCTGTTGGAACATATTTAATGTTTGCTTTTTTCCTCCCTTCTATCTACAAAGTTACATCCCAGACTGTTAATTTAATTTCTTCCCACTGTGCATGTTGATATCCACTAATATAAATCCCCAGTTCTCTCCAATAACTTTGGGGTTTTCTTCCTTCAGATCCCCGCTTCATTCAGAGTACAGACTGAGCCCTGTTCACTGAATGGGCACGTCTTCAACAGATATAATTTTTTAATCCTTGTGCTCGTTCAGAATCCTGCTTTTCATTTAATGCATAGTATTTTAACTTTGTTTAATGAAACATTATTAATTCCCAGACTTAATTCCTGGCTATTTCCTAAGATTCAGAGTTTTGCTTTGCAACAATAATGCTTTTTTTGTTGCCCTTTTTCTTTTTTTTTTTTTAAATTTTGCCTTCTTTCTGTATCTTCTAAAAGAAGGGTTGAATCCTTGCTCTTTTCCTGCAAGACTTGTGAAAAGTGAAATTCTTGATGTGTTTGTGACTCACATTGCTAGTACTGCTTAGAACTAAGTAAACCAATTTTTTTTCTTGGCTTTAGTGTGTAGCATCAGAGCAACTTATTTGGTTTTTTTAATGGAATTAATCTTCACAATGCTTCTGTAAAATAGAGAATTATTGTAATGCTTTTACTGATTAACTGAGGCACAAAGAAGCTGTTGAACAGATTTTACAGAAGCCTTGCATTCAGTTTTAAGATGCTTTACAGTAGTTGTAGCAGGAATTGAGGAATCTTCTTCATGAATCGGATACTTGATCCTAAATTGGAAGTCTGCTTCTCCATCTGGCTTAGATTCAGGCTGGAAAAGAACCTCATTTACTGGCTGATGCACAGATTTCTTTTATAAAGATGTAGAAGCTGTGTCTCTTTCTGCAAACAATGGCAGAGGTCTTGCTTTCAAAATAAAAAGGTGAAGGAAGCTAAAACAACTAAAGTTAAGGTGGTCCATTTGTCCCAAAAGTGGTATGCTCAAGTACCCTCTTTTGGTGCTTTCCTCTGCAGAAGTTCCTTCTTCTGGTAAGAGTAGCTGGGCTGCTGCCCTGGCTTGTATAAAATGGAGGTGCATATTGCATATCAAGCTGGTAAGGGGACAGAACTTGAGTGTTTTTTGCTTGAGTAAGTCTCCGTTGTAGCATTATGTAGAAGCTGAATGTCATAATTGTGCTCTCTAAATATTCTTGAAAAAGTGGCTGTGCAGTGTTAGTTTTTTTTTCAGAGTCAAAACCTAGTAATGTTGGTTGGGAGTCCTCTGAGAATCCTTTCTGGACTAACTGGATAAGGGATTTAGAAGACTGCCTGATCTCAGGATCAGAGTTACATTTAGTCATAAAATAGATGCTTAATTGATTTAGCAAGACTAAAGCAGCCTGGACCTTATGAAAAGATGCTATTTTAGGCATCAGGGTAACATTAAAATGTTTTTTTTGCTGTGGAGCTGATGAATCTCAGGTAGCCAACAGGTTTGCATGTTTTGTCCCCTAAACTCCTCCAATCATTCTCAGTTCTGCACTGTAATCTTCATTTCTGCTTTGTTAGAAGCAGCTATGGTCGTGCTGGTCCAAACTTAAAAGCATACTAGTGTGTAAGTGTTCAGCCAAGCAAATTACATCACAGCTATGCTCTCTCTGTCTTTGATCAATAAAGTGCTAATTTGGATGCGCCTTCTTACCAGGTGCTGTTTAGTAGAACTCAGGAGCAGCTTATTATTTCTGAAGCTTCTGCCCTCTTTTGGCTTTGGTAGAAATTGGCCAGTGAATCCAAATGTTATATAAACAGATGTAACATGATTGTAATTTTTTGTTCTGGATCTCAGAAATATTTCAGATATGTTATGTCTTTGTGTGAAAATCACCTATTTCTTAGTGTTTTGTTGAGGAAGAACTGCAGTACCCAGCCACAGGTCAGTTATGAACCCACCACGTGTTATGTGGCAGGGCTGGTGAAGCTGGCACCAGGACACAGTTTCATGCCAGAACCTCTCTACTCAGCAGGCCACAGACTTGGAGCAGTTCTGCTGTGTTCCTTTGACTATGCTTCCCGTTTACCCCTTTGAGTCAATTCACCACCACCTGGTTTTTGTGCCCTTCACTTTTATTTTTCTTTCCTTCTTACTTCTGTTTCTTTCTATCTCTGCCTTTCAGTGCTGTTATTCCTTTTCTTAGAACAGTGTGTTATCATCAGACTGGATGAGTGCAGAAACCATCTGGAGCAGTTTATTCATATTTACCATTTTATTTGTGTTACACTGTTTATTAACTTGCACTGTTTTTCACTGCAGCAAAGCAAGCCATGGAGCAGGGAAGATCTCCAGTTATAATAGATAACACTAATACTCAAGCTTGGGAAATGAAGCCATATGTGGAAGTGGTAGGTTTTGGTGTGTGATTGTATCATCTGGTACAACTTTTCAAACTTACCTTTGCATGTGGTAAGTTGGTGTGTTTTGTGCAGAAACATTTTCCTTACTCAAATTCCTACAGAGAGAGTGCTTATTGATATGATCAGTCCTTGGTGCAGCAATAGTTCAGACCAGTTTGAGGACTGACTTGATCCAATCTGCTTGGCCTGGAATGACAGCTAAGATGGGTTGAGGGCAGGGGATATATTCAGCATGCTACCACTGCAGAGCTAACTACATCTGTTTATTACACTGCTCTGTAAACTTTTTGTTTGTATGTTTGTTGTGTAGTAATGATACACATATCACACATTTTTCTTTGCTTGCTGCAGGCTCTAGAAAAGGGATACAGAGTGGAGTTCCATGAGCCAGATACTTGGTGGAAGTTTGAACCTGAAGAATTAGAAAAGTAAGGTTTATATTACAGAACTTGTTTTACTTTTATTTAGAGACATATTTATGCATGCATATTTATGCCTATGTAGTATATTTTATTCAATATTTTATTTTTAAAATATACTTGACTACAAGTACAAAATGTATTTTATCTAAATAGGCAGCTTGACGTACACCTTGAAATGGAAGTGTTACGAATAAAAACTCAGACATAAATAGAAGTTCTGTCTTTTTGGCCCAAAAAGTTGTTATTAAAGCTTTGTTGGACATGAGTAGAAAAATGACTGACCCCTGTAAGAAATGCTGCTATTGTAACAAATCGTTATTCTGAGAAATTTTCTGCTACAAAATGCTGACAGCAAGAAATGTGTAATAATTTCTTTTTGTCTTCTACCTATTTTCCAATAAGTGATTCATTTTGTCTACCTGTATAGATGTCTCAGTGTCAGAGAGTAACAGTCCATTACTAATCAGTAAAGGTTAGAAAGAAAGCTCATATTTTAGATTATCTTATTGCAAGATTTTGTGAAATTTTCCCCAGTTTTCAGAGGATCTGACTTCTGTTGGACATAGGTCATTGGACTTCTGGGTTGTGAGAGTGCATGGGAAGCTGGTTATTATTCCTGGTTGATATCTCTTTTGTCTCAGATGGATCTGCTTTAGGAATTTGTGAGGTATCAGACCAACTTAGGCATATTTCATTGTTTGAAATGTCAAAATATTGAATTACAAAGAGTTCTATCAGCAATTGTAATTTTGTGTGTTTCTAACTGACTTGGCTTATAATTGTTTCAGCTTTGTAAATCAGCCTGTACAATGCACAAAATAAGTGCTTATAATACTTGTATTACTGACTTGGACTTCATTATGTTTGTCAATCTTTTGAAAGCTTTTACCTTTTGTTTTTACACTACTACTAACTTATTTTTAGAGATGAGTCCTCTCTCTGCAGAGTGAATTCTAATAAGTTTTTTCCAGTTTTCTAGTTTGGGGTGCAGCAGTGTCAAGTTAGTAAGCCATCTTAGTAATCGGACATTTCCAAGATGTACAGGGTGAGATTTCTATTACATGAGAGACTCATTTTGCAGGAAAAATTCATGTTTTCACATGGTCTTAACAGATAAGAGGATATACAAATCTGAAGTGTTACTGTTCAATTTTACTATCTAGACATTAATTGTAGGAGTAAAGTTTATATCTTTCCCAAAACCAAAGGAAAACCCTTGAACCGCAAAGTGCTGCTACCAGCTCTTAGGAGCCTCCTACAAAAGTTTTAGCAGCTCCAGTTCCTTTAAGTATTTGAGTAGAGGCCCACTGCCTGGAATCCTTATTTTTTGAGAGTTTAGGAGAGGTAGTCATGTAAGGTTTCATTTTGTCTTTCAATTGCTTGGGAAGAGGGCTTAATTTTTAAGTTGGGTTGGATCTTCTATATTTGTGTGTTTGGGAAATAGGTAATGATAGAGATGTCACTGTAGTTTTGGGATTCCCCTTATGAATTTTTGAGCTTAACGTGTTGTGCAGTACCTGGACAAATACTATGCTAATAACAAATTTGGCTTATTCTGTTGTCTTGAGTCATACATTCTAATTCCCTCCTGAACTGGATAATTTAAAGAGTCATTGTTCCTGGTAGCTGGAACTAGAAAATATACTACCTCCTCCTTTAATTGGCCAAAGACTTTTCTTATAAATGAGGAGCATGTATCCAAAATAGTTGTTTTTAGTGATACTGTCTAGACTGTTGGTAAGTTTTAGCAAGTGACATGTTGATTTTCTCAAAGTCGGGTGCTTTTCTAGATACTATTTTTATAGAATAGTTTCTGCCACCACTTAGTGTTTGAGATATCTGAAAAGGCTCTCTAGGTCAACACTGGGCAAATTCTTGATGTCAAGAACACGACAGAGGTTTTAGTGTGGGGTAGATGTCAAGTGTCTTTTTCTTCCAGTGTGCTTGTGAGGTACAAATTGTCTCTGGAGTCACTCAGGAGTGATTTTGCTTTTAGTTTTGTTTTGTACATGTAACTTTTGTGAAAACATTTGCAATTTGGTATTGACTTCGTTGAACTTGAGCTGATTATTTTAAGTAGTCAAGTCCTGTGCAGGATTACTTTGCCAGTATATTGATATGTAAGAATCTTCTAGTGTAGAATCATTTAATAGGGTCAGAACTTTGCTGTTATCAATAGAGTCTTTGTTTTCCTCTGCACAAAACCAGCTTTCAAGTCACCACTATCTGGTAGGAGCTTTTGCTGATACATCTGTTTTGGTTAAGGATAGGGGCTTTATGCTCTTTTAGCATAGCCAAGTTGCCAAAGGATGAGCAAAGACAAGTCTGAGGAGAAGATCCCAGTGTTAAATGACACTATACAGCAGACTTGTTTCCTTTTTAAAATGAATTTCTATGCCTGATGCAATTTCTGCTATGGGAGATGTTATTATCCTGCTTTGTTCTTTAAGGAGAAGTACTTGCTCAGTTATGACGATACACAAGTCCATTCAGTTGTGGATGAGTGTGCACTTTGTGCCCAGAGCAATTGAGCTGTAATCTTTTTCTAGCAGTACTACAATGTGGAAAATATTGAGGAAGTTTGTGCTTTCCCCATTTGGCATGAAAGGACTTAGACTTTCCCTTCTCATTTTTTCTGTCATGAGAGTCAAGTGGTTTATGGAATCCCCATACTTCTATGGGACTGACTTGTTTTTCCTTTGCCATTAACCTTGTTCATAATTGTAAATAAAATAAAAGCTGTTAAGACTTGTTAACTGAAAATTTTAACATGCTGTTCTTGGACTTCATTAGCACAATGTAGAAATAGTAGCATTTAAACATTGAGCTGCTTGTGATAATCACTGCAGCTTCTGAACCCTCATCAACTTGATACATACTTCTTGGTTGTAATAATATGCACAAATTCCAGGGGTGTGGTGTGGTGCGGGAAATCAGTCTTTCAGAATATTTCTGTATAGAGTATTCTCTTCCCAGTAGAGCCTGTTTGTTTCCAGTGTTGATTTCTCCTCTATAGTTTGCAAGGAGGCCCATGCCTCTTCTGTCCCTGGCAGAAAGCACAAAGGTGCAGGCATGTATTCCCTGTTGGTATGACCTGGAAATAATCCTGCTTGGACGAGGTTTCCTGGTGATGAGAATATATTGGGTTATGATAAGTGCTTGTCTACACTAACAAAAAATTTGTTTAATATCTGTTATTTTCTGTTCAGTTCTGTTACAGCACTGGCAATTCTCTGACTCTCAGTTTATGCATGAGCCTTGTGGCTTTCCTTTTGACAAGAGACTGAAATTTTCTGTTAACATAGATTTTAAGATCCTGTTCCATACATACTAAGATGCAACCTAATGTCATGTCCAATGTCTCAGGTTCTTAATAGGCAAAGCTCTCCCTGAAAGTAGCTGCTTACTAAACACACCAAGAACAGAGCAACACTTTTGGCCTCTTATGTGTTTTACTGATACTTGCTGTAAATTTAGAAAATATAGTAGATAAAGGTATATTGAATATGCTGTTCTGGATCAGAATGAAAATTGCTTCTTATTTTATATAGAGATTTATTGATGAGAAAATACTCTGTCATTAAATCTTGAAACACTGTAGGTTCATTTTTTATGCTAGCTTGAACATGGCTTTCATAAGTAGTAGCATATAACATTATTAATCTGTCTACACATCAGCTAGTATATCAGGTAAAGTCTGATGAATAAATAGAAAGCAAAGTTCTCCTAGAGTTGTGTAGTTACATAGTCCTAGTGGATAACATCACATTTCTGTATGAAGAACAGTGACTGTAATGTTGTCTATTATTTAATATATGCAGTGATGAGTTGTTAAACCTTAATGCAAGTTAAATGCCAAGAGAATGAGGATACAGTGTAATGAAAGTGAAATTTCAAATACTAAAAGTAAGAAGAAAAATGGTGAAATTAGAGGTTTTTTTCTTTTTCTTAAAAACTGTAAACATATAAACATACCAGACAATTTACTTAAGTTTTTATTTTTGTAGGAGGAATAAACATGGGGTCTCTCGTGAGAAGATTGCTCAGATGTTGGAACGATATGAATATGAAATATCCATTCCTATTGTCATGAATTCAGTGGTACCTCCCCACAAAAACACTCAAAGGCCACCTCTGCAGCGAAGACAGAGGTGGGGAGGCAATACAGACTCATGGAATTGTTTCAGTATTTCCAGTAGCCGATAACACAGCTGCAGTCAGTTAATAAAAAACTGTTACTTGCCCTTCTAAAACACATCATCACCTCCAATATAGTAGTGGATCTTCTGTGTTTTAAATAGGCCTATTTCAAGACCATTTTCTTCTGGAGGTTGTTCCTTTAACAGACTTGCATGTAAATAAAATGGTACATTAATGTTTTTTAAAACTATATTTATTACAGTTGTAATAACTTTTTATTTTAGTAAAATATTTAATAGAGTATGACATATAGCAGAGTCTTCATAAAGCTAAGACAATGATGTTGTCATATATCAAGTAACTGTTGAGCAGTTTTTTTTAAAGGAGGTCATATTAGATACCTTTTAAAAGAGAATAAAAGACCAGGAAGAAGAGGTCATTAATGTGATAACAATTCTAATGATTGTCATTTAGTCATCTTCTCTTTTAGGAGATCTTTAAAAAAACCGATTACATCCTGGATTATCATTTTGTTCTATTTGGCATGGATTGCCATTTGGTAAAATTTTGGCATGTATTTTCTGTTTTCAGTTATAGTGTTTGGGGTTTTTTTGTCTCAGAAGCTCATCTGGCAGCTGGAGCCACATCCTGCCAATACAGCATTCACCAGTCTGGAACTGTAGAATCTGAATTATGACTTTATTTATTTGTAGTGGTGGTATGTAAACCATAGTGATGGCTGCACACCACCAACTTTTTTGTGCTGACTGAAAGACCCTAAATTTTTATCACTAAACCCTAAAAAATTCACAGCTGTGTCTTTCTAAGTTAATTTCTTTCTTATACAATAAAAATGAAGTATTTAAAGTATTAGGCTGTCAAGTCAGAGTCCACAGTTGGGGTGCATCAATTCAGAATAAATAGTGGATATAGTTCTGTAAAACCACGTTGCATTCCTAATTTTGGCACAGCCAATATAATCTGTTAAGAACATAACAAAGAATGAGCCAGCATGGAGATTAACTAATTTATTGCTCTTTTGCTCTTAAAAAATGATGAATTTGTAAGTGTTCACTTTGCTTGCTTTCTAACCACTTGCTGTATTAATAAAATATATTTGTCTTCAGTGTTCTTTTAGAAGTTCAGTGAAACATTTTTATTATTTTCAAGCTTGTAGGATTTTATACAAATAAATATTATTACTAACCTTCTTGCTGAAGTAGCCTGTCTTCAGGTCTAACTACATTTGATTTCCTTATACACTGAATGAGTAAATCCTGAACAGGAAGTTTTGTCAAGAATGTGAATTTGTAGCTAAAAGAATTTTCATGGTTTTCTATTACTAATTTGGTGTAATAACCATCAGATCTTTGAAAAGTCCAAAGCCTGCATAATTTTTTTTTACTTACAGACAATTTTTGAATGGGCCCTAAAAATTACTTAAAGTCTGAATACCATGAAAGTTGAAAATCCAGGTATATAATGAAGTAACTTTCTGTGACTTTTCTACACCTTCCGTGCAAATCTAAATTAGTACAATTTAATATGTATCTGCAGTAATATTTTTCATAAGATATTCTAGGTAACTATAAGAGTTGAAGTGTGCAGTTCTACATCACAATATTGTTTTAATTATTTGAAAAGTAATTTTTAAAATGCTTCAGTAGCACATGGTTTGTTAATATATTGAATTTTGTATATATATATAAAAAAGCATTCTGATTATATTGTCTTCACTTATTGTCTTGTTATTTTTACCAATTATGTTACTGTATTTTAGTTTTCATGGTTATCTTTTTCCATGTCTCAAAAGAATTATCAAAATTATTGTAAATGATCGGTAATACCTCAATTATCCCAAAGTTTTTTTATATTTAAACATGAAAGCATATCACAGGTTAGAGGAGGATAAAAAGGTTTTAGACCCATTTTATTTAGTCTATATTACTTTAAGCCCTAATAAAATGATAAAATTTATTGAGGGTTTATGTAATTTTCAGACAGTGTGCTAAGGTGTGGCAAAGAAGATGACTGAAAATTGATGTTATGTTATCTTTTGGTACCTTCTGTCTTCAGTTTTTAAAGGAGAAGGATTTTTTAGCAATACTTCATTGATCTTTAAGTTCTCTAACTGAAAACTGTATCTGAATAGATGTGAATTCATACTATTTTTAAATGGTGCAGATTTTTTTTTTTAATAAATTACTGGTGGATGGTGAGTATTTTGGATATGCAAAGCATGTTGGTCCATAATAGGCTTGCAGTTTGCAAAGGAGACAACAGGAAAGGAATGCTTTGCAGCATGGCACTGTAGCAAACATTTTGTGTAAGCTGCTTAATCTGTAAAGGTGTGTTCCAAGGTGAGTATAATGGCATGGTGGGTGAAAACACAGAGGAACTACTGTCTGTGTAACACACGTTTGTTTCATGGTATATCAATATTTCCTGAGGATATGGCAGTGGTGATCATACATACAGCTCAGAATTTGCTTTTACACTACAATATTTATATGTAAAAATAAAAAGATGGTGTGAAACACACGTTGCAGGTGATTTCTCCTGCTCCATCACAGATGAGGAAGTTTACTTATTTTGTCAGTAAGTATGTATGAGAAATGTGAGAACTCGCTGTTCAGTTAGACTGGGGATCTAAAAAGTTTTACCATCTGGTATAGTTTTTAGGCAGTACCCCTGTTGATGATGATAACATACCTAGAATTAAGGGTTTATTTTGTTTTAGACTTTTAGTAAATTGATAGTTCATCTTACTCCATAAATAATATTGTCAAAAAGTATTGTTCATTTAATGTAACTAATGCATAGAACCTTAATGTTATGAATGCAGATTCTAAGTGTATGCTTCATACTTCAAACTAGTGAGATGCTTGGTAAATGAATATAACCAGAATAGTTGAGATACTTAGCTGTAGTTTTAACATCTTACTTGTCTAAGCATGAAATTTAAAGGAGAATTAATTTGCAGAACAGATAATTTGGTTCATATATCTGACCAGCTGTGTCAGATTATTTGAAAAATAGTCCTAGTTTTAGTTATTCATGTAAGCTGCGCTTTCTTGTTTGGTTAGTTTGCTTCCTGAATCCTCAGAAGTTTTCATCAGCCTGATCTTTGATGGATCGTTTAATGTTCTTACTTTTATTTAGTTTGGAGAAGAAAAACACCAAAAAAGAAACCCACACTTCAAGACCCACAGAGAGACACTAGAGGACTTGTGTGCCGGTTCGGCTGGGGCAGAGTTAATTCTCTCCCCAGCAGCGGGCACGGGGCTGTGTTTGGGTTTGAGCTGAGCACACGTTGATAGCACGGGATGTTTCCCTTCCGCGCAGCAGCGCTCAGGCAGTCAAGGCCGTTTGTGCTGCTCCCCGCCCAGCCCCGCAGCGCAGGCTGGGAGGGGACGCGCCGGGGACGGGGGACGTTCGGAGGATGGTGCTCGCTCGTGTGATGGAGCCCGGCTTTCCTGGAGATGGCTGAACCTGGATGGCCTGCCGATGCCAAGTGGTGAATGGATTCCTTGGTTTGCTCTGCGTGCATGCGCGGCTGTTGCTTTGCCTGTTAAACTCTTCATCTCAACCCATGGGTTCTCTCGCTTGCCCGGTTCTCTCCCCTATCCCACTGGGGGAGAGCGGGTGAGTGGCTGTGGGGCTGAGCGAGGGCAACCTAATCTAACACCTTTTAACATGATTCTCGGTCATCACCTGTGAGGAATTCTGTCCTGTTCTTGTAGCCTTGAGCTCTCTAAGTTCTTTTTATTCTGATTTGCCATGCTTCAAAGTTTTCCTAAGCTTTTTATTTTTAAGAAGAAAGCCAAGATTTTGGCTTTTGGAATCTCTTGAAATCTCCTGCATAGACAGTAACTAAAAACCAGGCTTTGTCTAGCTGAGATGGGACCCATCACGTTTATGTTTGGTTGTTTTGTGTCTCTGTTTCCTGAAGTAATTTAGATTTGGTTGGTATTTTCTTCGTTGAGCTGACCAGTAGGATTAATTTTACCTGAACTAGAAAAAAGATTTACTTTTGTATTTCCACATTAATGTGTGATGCCTGTAGTTTTAACTGCTGCTTCCTCCTAGCAATCACATTTTCTAGAAGAAATGTTTTCCCTCTGTGCTGGTACATCATGGAGATGAGGTGACTAGGTGTATGTTGAGAATTTGGGGGTTCCATTTAAAAGAACAGAGACATCTATAACAATTTCCAGCAAAGAGAAGACAGTGTTGAAATGCAGCTCATAAAATTGAAATTAAGTACTCCGTTTAAAAGAGTGATCCATTGGTTCATATAAGTCAGATGTGGAAATATTTCACTTCAGTGTTTATACAGTGATGCATCCTGATTTCAATGTTTTATGTTCTCATTTTTTCTGAAGTAAAAGCAAAAGCAGAGATTAAAGCTCTTTAGTAATCATTTCCTAGGTAAAAATCTACTTGTGCATCAATTTGGTGTGTGGGTTTTTTTTGTCTTTTTATAGTGGAATTCGTTGAAATTAGCCTTGAAGCTTATTTTGAGTTCACAGGAAAATGTAAAAACAGCTGCTCTTTTAAGTATCTAGAAGATAAACTGAAGGTGAGATCATCTCTTAGTCTGTCCAACATAACTGTAGTAACGGAGAAGGCAGCAAGTGGAGTTAGGCTGCTGGTGTCTTAGATCAAGGGTAATGAAGCATTGAAGCCTTGCATCGGAATCGGTCTTGGTTTCTTCTAGCTGCTGCTGCCGCTTGGTCTCTGGGGGAGGCAGGCACCCCTGGCTCCATGTGCCCCTCACTGAGAGAACGCTGCTGGAACAGCCCCGTGCTCTGCCAGGTCACAGCATGTGCGGCCCTGGAGCAGTTTTTTTACAGTTGTACTTGCAGTCTTTTTAGTGGTGTTAAGTATTTTTCTTTGAGCTGTTAATCAGCTTCTCTTTCATGGTCCCTCTAGGATTTTATGAAAACATAGAAAAATATTTTATGAGCAGAATTTTTGGAATGTGCTTGCGTGTTGTCTAAGTCTACTGATTTAAAGAGAGCATGAGTTCTTCAGTGGGTGTTGTTTAATCTCTTAAATTGCTAACAGACTAAGAGGTGCTGCTTTAGCTGACTGAATAAACATTTGCTTGTTTCTCAGGGGCTTGCGTCATTTACAAATCAGTCTCAGGCGTGGGTCTGTAATGTTGTTTGCTTGTTATTTGGGGTACTTCTTATATATTTTTAATTTATTTATTTATTCTTCAGCC